GACAATTACCCTTATAACCTGTAGTGCTACTTCGGTTATATAAAAATTAGTTAATAATGAAGAGATTGTTGATAATCATTTTGGCTCACTCTGTTTTAGCCCAGATTTCCCTCCCAAAGCTCAGTTTAATAAACATGATGCATCCTCAGCCAGATAACCTATGAAATAGAATATGACCAAAGAGAATGCTCATACATTGGGCTGACCATTGGTTTTCCCAACCACAGTTTATTGAACACATTTCACATATACATTAAGATATAAATCATGTTTTAGTAATCACAATGTCTCAGCTTATGAAATCTTGGAATTGTGGAGCTGGGAGGAAGCAAAAGAGTTGGGTAGCTCAATTCTCCACAATGCTCAAGAAAATCAATTAAACTCTCCTTGAGTGGTAGCTGTCTAGCCTCTTCTTAAAAATCAGAGGTAAAGTATTCCACTGTTCTACAGACTTTTCCATCAGGAAGTTTTCTCTTATATTCAAGTTCCTTATATAGTAATAGCACTTAAGACTTATGTACTGCTTCATAGCCCTCTCTAAGCAGTTTACAGAGTCAGCATATTGCCCCCAACAATTTTGGATCCTCATTTTACCCACCTCAGAAGGATAGAAGGCTGAGTCAACCTTGAACCTGGTGGGATTTGAACTGCCAAATTGCAGGCAGCTGACAGTCAGCAGAAGTAGCCTGCAGTACTGTACCACCGAGGCTCATAGCTGCAACATATACTTATTATTCATATACTTCCCTAGGCCAAGGTCCAAAGCCAAACAAAATCTTAAGATCCAACACATAACTTTATGATATGGGAATTGACACATGCTTGCAAGAGACTTTGGTCAGACAAAGATGAGAACAACATGTACAAAAAATAATATATTTTTGCCAGCTACCAAGAAGACATCTTGTAGCCAATCAGATTTACAGTCAATCTTGGCATGGCTCACTTGGCACCCAGATGTTTCTTATTAAATCTGAAAAAAACATTTATACAAAACAAAAGTCTAGGCTACAAACATATATACCTGACTGCATTAAAGACTAACTGAGATTAATTGGTCTGATAATGTGTGGAAATGTGTGCACCGAAGGCACTTAACAACTTCTATAAATCACACAGCTTTATTTAAAAAATGCTACTTCAATATAAAAAGGTTAAACATTGTAATATTTATTGAAATCTGTCAACATGTGGCCTTCTAAATGCTTTATAATTTTTTGAGCTATAGAGAAATATGCTCTAGGTCAGCGGCCCTGAACCTTTTGGGCACCAGGGACCAGTTCCATGAAGAGGTGTTTCTGGAGACCAGAGGGGGTGTGGTTTCGCCTCCTGCCTGCATCTAGCGGATGTTTGCATGTTCCAGTTTTTGGTACTGGTCCACAGACTGGAGGTTGGGGACCTCTGCTCTAGAACATCATAAAGGAAAAAAAGCAAGAATTTAAACTATACCAAAGACACAGAACAGGCAAAGAGAGAATGACCAAAACAAAGCAGGCAATCAGTACCTGAGGTTCTCCCCGTCTTTTATTAGACATCTATCTTTTCTTTATTTTACCTTTTCTCCTCACTGATTCTGATGAGAAGGAAATTAAAACTATGCCTGATTCAGAACTAGCCCCATTTCTTCCCTGTTCCTGTAATGGCTCTGGACATAGCAAATCTGTAGATCCATAGCCTCTCCTCCATGGAATGCTCCCAGATTGCTTTTCTGATCTCTTTTATACACTGAATCCTGGTATTAGAGAATCTTGTGTCTCTGCAGCTTTAGGACAGTGGGTTTTTTTTTTTAGCAGAGGGTCGAGGGTCCTTTCCCTTAAGGAGGTCTAAAAATACCTGTGGCCCTTGTGATTCCGCCCCCACCCCCAAGGAATTACAGTACTGCATCCTTAATTTAAAAAAACAACACTATTGCTATTATAATAATCAGTTGGTATATCAGTTAAAGTACAGGTTAGAAATCAGGAGACCCTGAGTTCTGTCAAAGCATAGACACGAAGCCAGTTCGGTAGTCTTTGGCCAAACACTCTTTCTTAGCCCTAGGAAGTCAACAATGGCAAATTATACTGAAATCTTGCCAAGGAAACTGGACTTGTCCAGGCAGTCACTAGCAGTCAGTTTTGTGAGGCACCTCTCACAAAAAATTGCTATTATAGGCAGTCCTTGCTTTGTGACTTTCTCATTTAGGAACCATTCATAGTTACAGTGCTGATGAAAATATAACTTTGTGACCAGTCTTCATATTTCTGACCTTTCTAGATTTGTAGAAGAAAGAATAACTGAAGTAATATCATAAGCATAGTCACAGTTTTGTTAACCCACAACTTCACTTAACCACTCAGTTGCTGTGGTCCCAACTGTGGTCACTAAACAAGGACTGTCTGTATAATTGACTAAAAATGTGAAGCTATGTTTTAAAGTCCTTTCTTGACAGTAAATTCACCAAACAGTTTCTTTGAATAAACAGGTAAAGCATTGGAATACAAGCTGCATACTGTATTTTTGGATGGGGGTCATTCTGCAGTAATAAACATGTTGATTTGAAACCCTATAACAAGGCTCTTCAAACTTAGCAAATTTAAGACATGTGGACTTCAACTCCCAGAATTCCTGAGCTAACATGATTGGAGGAGGAATTCCTGGAGTTGAAGTCCACAAAGTCTTAAAGCTGTCAAGTTTGAAAACCCCCAAGTTTGAAGGCATTGATGCTATGGACTGGCCTGCCCGTTCCCCAGACCTGAATCCAATTGAGCACATCTAGGACATCATGTCTCGCTCCATCCACCAATGTCACGTTGCACCAGACTGTCCAGGAGTTGGGGGATGCTTTAGTCCAGGTGTGGGAGGAGATCCCTCAGGAGACCATCCTCCACCTCATCAGGAGCATGCCCAGGCATTGTAGGGAGGTCATACAGGCACGTGGAGGCCACACACACTACTGAGCCTCATTTTGACTTGTTTTAAGGACATTACATCAAAGTTGGATCAGCCTGTAGTGTTTTTTTTCACTTTAATTTTGAGTGTAATTCCAAATCCAGAGCTCCATGGGTTGCTAAATTTGATTTCCGTTGATAATTTTTGTGTGATTTTGTTGTCAGCACATTCAACTATGTAATGAACAAAGTATTTAATAATAATATTTCATTCATTCAGATCTGGGATGTCTTATTTTTGTGTTCCCTTTATTTTTTTGAGTAGTGTATATACATCAACACAAATAAAAAAAGAAACATTTACCTGGGAATAATTTCCTCTGAAATAATTGGGCTTAATATGAAACTGTGTAGAATCACAATGAATGTCAGTTTGGTGTAGTAATTAAGGTATCAAAATAACAACTGGGAGTCTGCTTTAAGTAAAAGGTCAGCTGGGTGACCTCTAAAACTAGTCAGTTTCTCTTAGACCTAGGAAGGAGGTAAGGGCAAATCACTTATGAAAAACCTTGCCAATGTTGGAAGAAATATCCTTCTGGGTTCAGTTTCAAGTGGGGAAAAAGACACTGGAAACATGGAGGCTGTTTGGAAGGTTTAATGGACAGGACCACATGGCCTGGAGCTCTAGAGTGAAAAGGAAGGATGATCACATGCTTCAAGGTGAAGGAGGAGATCAAGAAAAGGACTGAGGTGCTGAGAGTGCCTGGGTTTTACACCCTCCGTTGGGATTTGAATTTGAGCTTGTATTCTGATTGGTTGTCAGACTCCCAGTTGTAACTGTAGGCTGTCCTGAGTTCCAGGCTTGGTTGAGTCTTGCTGAATGATTAATGCCCTTAAAAGGGCTTTTGGCAATTGCTATAGCTTTACCTGTAGATCTTTGTTATGTAAAGTATTCTGGCCCAGGCCTTAATGGCCCACCCATTAATAAAGGTAGGAGTGAGTTTCTGCTTCTGAGGTGAGTTTCTGCTTCTGAGTTTCTACTCTTTTTAGAGGAACTATTCTGCCTTTTTAATATTTCCTAGGCTATTTCAATTTTCTAGGAGAGGGGTAGGTGCTAACTTCCTACACCAAGAAAGCTGCAGGGACTTGGCCAGGCCCTCTTCAAGAATTGGACATGAATGGAAGAAGAAGAAAGTGCATTGTAAAATGTCAGCAAGCATTTTATATTTACTGCAAAGGATTGATTTTCTGTTGCTAATGGAAGAACTATTTCTAATTTTAAACAGGCTAATTCATCCAGAGGGTCAAACTTTTTAAATTTGTTAAGAAACAGGCATGGCATTTTGTCTATCTGTGTCTTTTGTAGAAAAAAAAACCACTTCTGGAATGGTTTAATAAAGTCAAATTTCAGAAAACAATAACAATGAAACCATAGTAAAAAAAATACCAGGGAACCTTAGCAACAAAGATATATACCCCTTGGCATAGATTAAAAGCTAGAATTCATTTAGTGCAAATCTATAAGTAATGGCAAGGACGATGACTTTCTATTGAGAGATCAGAGAAGGGAAGGGTTACATAATACAACCACATATACATACAGACATTCACACAGGAACCAGGGAAAGAATCGGAAAAGGTGCAAGACTTAACAAAGCCGTCATACGTCTACACAAACGTGCGTACGGATGCAATGTAAACATTTGCAAGGATCAGGTATCGATTGCAGAGTGATGTAGTTCCTTTTTTTTAACGATCTACTTTATATTTCATGAAGCATTCAATTAAAACAGTCGTTATATTTCCGACTCTCAGTTGAGCAGACGAGTCAAAGCCTGAATACAGTTCTACGGGACTGGGCTTTAGAAAGACGGATTCCCTTTAGCTTTTCTGCCACGTACATGGCGGTGTTCAAATTAGATCTGGGAGTGAAAATCAGACAAACAGACAGACAGACAGACACCCGTCCCAACTCTCCATGAAGATACTTGGAGCTTTTAATAAACCGCTGTCCTCAAGCTGTCCTCCTGATTGGTTGCTCTTCCTGGGACATCGGCCAATCATCATAAGGCCAGAGCGCCTTTGCGTCTGCGCGGGACGATTTGAATTTTTCTGTATGCTTCCTGCCAGTTACGATGGATGCCGTCTGTTCGGAGTCCACCATGGACCCCTCAGTTCGCGTACGGTGAGTAACTGGAAGGGCGAAGCGATCTCGCCTCCCGCGGATTTTTGGTCGAATGAATCTCTTCCCTACTCGCCTTCATACTCCTGCGACAGTCAGCCAGGCGAGCAACATTTTACCTCCCTAGTATGGTTATAATTGTGATGGTGGCGAGGGAGTTTATCTTTTGCCTGGCAGGTTCATACGTGCAAGTCGTTACATATATATATGTGTGTGTGTGTGTGTGTGTAACGACTTGCACCTGCCATGCATATGTGCATCTATATAAATACTATACAAACCTTCAAAATATCCCTGTTCTTTTCTTTCTGTAAAATGACAAGTGCTGGGAGATCAACCCTTGAATACTTTTTTTAGCTGTAGTACCAAGTTTGTGGTCATCCCTGAGGATAGTAGTGCTTTGCCCTTGCTCTTTACAGACAACAAACGATCAGAGTTGGAAGGGAGTTTGTAGGTCATCTAGTCCCACCCCCACCCAAATGGGAGACCCTACCTCATTTCTGATAAATGGCAGTCCAATCTCTTCTTGAAAGTCTCAAGTGATGGTGCTTCCACAACTTCTGAGGGCAAGCTGTTCCATTGGTTGATTGTTCTCACTGTCAGAAAGTTTCTCCTTATTTCCAGGTTAAATCTCTCCTTGTTCAGTTTCCATCCATTATTCCTTGTCTGGCCTACAGGCACTTTAGAAAATAGCTTGACCCCTTCCTCTCTGTGGCAGTCCCTCAAATATTGGAAGACCGCTATCATGTCTCCCCTGGTCCTTCTCTTTACTAGACTAGCCAAGCGCAGTTCCTGCAACCTCCAGTCCCCTAATCATCCTGGTTGCTCTTCTCTGTACTTTAGAAAAGAGTCTCAACATCTTTTTTATAATGTGACCAAAACTAAATGCAGTACTCTAGGTGTGGTCTTACTAAGGCTTTATAGAGTGGTATTAGTACCTCCCTTGATCTTGATTGCATCCCTCTGTTAATGCAATTTAGGATTGCATTAGATTTTATGGCGGCGGCTGCACACTGCTGGCTTATATTTAGCTGGTTGTCCACTAAGACTCTTAAGATCCCTCTCATAGGTACTGCTATTGAGCCTGGTTTCACCCAGTCTATATGTGTACTTTTGGTGTTTCTTGCCTAAGTGTAGGACTTTACTTTTCTCTTTTCTCTTGTCATATAACTGGAGTTAGTTTTTTTTGAGGGGTGGGGGAAGGAAGTCTAATAATTTGGGTTTTGTTTACCTGGAGTTTGGCTGGGTAGTTTTTTTTCTTACTGTTATCTGTTAATAGTTTCTTTTACTGCAATTTATACGCACACAGCATTATGGCATATAATAATTGTTTGCTTGTTAACATTATAGGTTTAATATTACCCTGCTGAGCCAAAAGGTGTTTTAAGAACATAATATTCACTTAACATAATTTCACTTAAATAGCAACCTTGGCTATATAGTTGCCATTTGATTGTATATGGGAGGATTTGGTGTGGAAATAGGTCCAAATTGATCAGCTTCTTTTACTTTTCAACTCCCTCTTTTGAAGTTCTTTTGCTTTGGTCTTCATTACTTTCAAAGGAAGCGTACTATTTTGCAGTCAGGAATCTTTTAGGAAATCATAATTGGAGAAGGGGTGTCTGTTATTTACAACGCTATTTATTATTATCACTGGCCAGAATTGTGCCTTTTCTTTTTCTGACTTTTGTATTTAACAGCCTGCCACTCAGGGTTTCTTGAATATAGATAGTCCTCGACTTAGAACAGTTCGTTTAGTGATTATTCGAATGACAATAGCACTGAAAAACTGACTTCTGACCCTTTTTACCCTTATGACTGTTGCAGCATCCCCATAGTCACATGATTTACATTTGGAGGCTTAACAACTGACTCACATTTCTGACAGTTGCAGAGACCCGGGGTCAAATGGGGCAAGACTCACTTAATTTCTCACTTAGCAACATACATTTTGGGCTAAATTGTGGTTGTAAGGTGAAGACTACCTGTATAGCAGTTACCATCTAAAATTAAAATTTAAGGGGTTGCAATCTTATCCATACCTCAAATCAGCTGTGTACTATGCAGCATATGGTATAGTACAGTACAGAAAGACTATTAGATTTGGGCTGGTACATTCTGAAATTGGCCCTGATAATACATGCAACACCCCACTCTACAGGAAATTTGTTTTAGAAGAACCACTCACCGCAGATTAGCTCACTACCATTTTAGTTTCCTCTTTTTTTTAGAAGGGTGAAAACAATTAGGTTTAATTATTCTGTGAAAAGACTTGGTAATGGAGACAGCCTTAAGTTTACTTAAATTGGAAGTAAATCTTAGGAAACCAGTCGGATAGAGAAGTCTTTAAAAAGTGCTTTATGGAGACCACACTTAAATTTTCACATATGCAGTCAATCATCTTAAAACATGTCTTTCCTATCAGTAGGGATTTTATATGCGTTTTATTATTTGTTAATTCATAATAAAAGAAAAAAGGAAAACAATAAGCAGGTACAATCATAAATAACCATACACATAAAAAAATAGAAATTACTAAAGCATAAAGAAAAACACATGCCTACAAACAAAAGGAAATTAATACTGTACATATACAGTGGTTCAAAAACCTAATCCTCTCAAATCCTGTTGTCTTATTTTCAAGTTAAATAGCTCATAATGTTTATTCGTTAGCCACTTTTATTTATTTATTTGTTTAGGATTTTATTTTCTTAGTTGTTTTTAGCTGTTTGTAGTTGCTTTGTACTTTTCTGTTTTGTGTATCTTTATGTTGTGTACTTTTTAGTACTTAAAAGTGTGTATTCCGCATCGGTCTTGCTTTACTGCAGTTTTAATTTGGTCTTATTTTTGTCTGTATACTGGTCCTGGACCACATAAATAAAGATTTGCTTTATAGTAGAGTTGTCCTGGGGGGATGAGTGAAGAATATCAGGAGTGTTGGGAAAATGTAATCCCATCAAGGTCACCCAAAAGTATAGAGGTCATTCCAGCGGCCTAGTTAAGGGATCATTTTGGTGGCAAGGGCGAAGGGTCACTTCATACTGCCTGGAAGAGTGTTAAACCACTTTTATATTTTATCCAGAAGCCATATAGATAGGTAAGATAAAGTGATAGATGATATACTAGATGATGGACCTCTAGGTTGGATCATACTTGACATGTTACTGAGGTTCTTTTGGAATACTAATGGTGTTTATGATACAGTTACATGAAAGCCTTTGGGGAGTTTAGATTGCTGACGTTGCTGTGCAGGAGAAGAAAACTGAAGTTCCAAAGACAGAATTACAATGGGGACATGGAATGCACGAGGCATTAATATGGGAAAACTCAACACAGTGAATGATGAATCAACTACACTTTGGCATCTTAGGTATCAGTGAACTAAAATGAATTTTCAGGCAGAATATCATACTGTTTATCATTCAGGACATGAAAAACAAGGATGCTTTTATAGTTGGGAAGGATATAGCAAGGACAGTACTTGGGTGAGATTCTACAAGGTGATAGTACAGCTCAGTTATAATAGTAAAATGGTGCCCAGGAGGGCTGAATATGGAACATCACAAACTGCTCACGTGCAAGTTTCAAATCAAGCTAAAGCAGGAAAAAAGCCAACCCGTTTCCATGGTATGATACTGAGACGAGTAATAAATTTGAAATTCGACAATGGCAAAAATACCAGTCAATTGCAAAAGGCAGCTTTATTTGGAACAGCTTATGTTCTGCAACCTTTAAGAGTACTAAGCAATGACATGTCTATCCCAGGTCCTTGGGAGAGACTTGATAGGTGGACAAGAATGCCAAATTTAGTCTAAACCTTGGATTGATTGTGCATCCAACTATAATAATATATGAAGCTTGCATGTTTCCTAACTGAGTAACTCTGAGGGGCTCACAGCAATCAAACTAATTGCCATCAAATCAATAAAATATTGATATCTCATACACACACACACACACACACACACACACACACAAAATCTCCACCATTTTCACGGAGAACATAAGAAATTGCTTTAAAGTCCTGAACCTCATTGATAGGTCATCAGAGGAATTGTGGTCTGAACCTAAAGAGGTTGTTAAAAATGATTATGGATAGAGGCTGCTAAAGTGTGAAAAAAGCAGAAGAAAGTAAAATGGTTGTCAGAACAAAAGCTGGAAATCGCCAAGAAAAGAGAAGGCAAAGCCAATGAAGACAAAGATCTACAAAGGAATTTAACAAAGAATTTAAAGAACCTTTAGAAGACACAAGAAATTGTCTGCAATTTGGCATTTTGAATCTCACCAGGCTCAAGGTCAGCCTTCCATCCTTCCGAGGTCAGAAAAAATGAGGACACAGATTGTTGGGAGTAATATGCTGACTCTGTAAACTGCTTAGAGAGGGCCAGGGGTGGGATTCAAAATTTTTAACAACAGGTTCTGTGGGCGTGGCTTGGTAGTCATGTGACCGGGTGAACCTGGTTTGGTGGTCATGTTATTGGCTGGGAGTGGCCAACTCAATATCACATCAAGGCATGCATCTTCTTGCCTGGCCTCTCATGACTGTGGGGATGCTGCAACAATCATAAGTGTGAAAAATGGTCATAAGTCACTTTTTCCAGTGCCATTGTAACTTTAAATGGTCACTCCACACAAGCAAAGTACCAGTAAAGGAGGGAGAAAAAACTCCAGAGACATTCCTGAGACAGGAAGTCTAGTCCTGCCAAGAATGTAATAAGGGTTAACGGAGAGGCAGTTTCTGTAAGCAACACCAGAATGTTTCCTTCCTGCCTTCCTTACAGGATTAGGCCAGTAATTTCTTCTAATAACCAGTTTTCCGAACTGCTTAGAATGTTAACAACCTGTTCTAGTGAATAGGTGCAAACTGGTAGAATCCCACCCCTGGAGAGGGCTGTAAAGCACTGTGAAATGTTATGTAAGTCTAAGTGCTATTGCTATTGCTATTATAACAGCATCTGAAAAGACATCAGGGATGAAAACAGACATGGAAAAAAACAGAAAATCCTTCCAAATAATCTTGGAATTCTGAAGGAGGTTCCAACTCAATTTGGATGCTAAATAATGCTACAGGCAGATAATCCAGAGTCTTGTAGCACAGGTGTCCCCAACTCCTGGTCTGTGGCCCATTGGGAACCGGGCTGCATTAGCAGCAGGCAAGCCTGCAAAGTTTTATTTGTGCATGTGTGGGATTAGGTTGCACGTGCAAAACCATCCCCGCCACCGCCTTTGCCACTTTTTGGAGCCAGAATGGCTGGGGACTACTGTTGTTGTACCTTTTCCAGTTATCAAATTTTGTTAAAACATATAAGCTTTTGTGAGCTGTAGTTCATTCATCAGGTGCCTAGAGAGGCTAGACTAGGATTTAAATTGAGATGAGTCAGGGAGAAAGAAGGGGATAGGTGAAATGAAATTAGAGTTTTGGGGTAAATCACAGCTCTATGTTCACAGAAGAAAAATGATTCTTTTAAAGAAAAGAACACTATATTGTGAAACATGGAAGAGATTCCTTAATGCTATGGGGGTCTTTGTTGCCTCCTGTACTGAGTGCCTTAGCAGGCCAAAACATTTTGAGTGAAGCTTTATCTGGTTACAAGTTATAATCCATTTTTAGCACAACGATGAGTTGAACTATCTAAGGTGGGTGTCAGCAACCTGCAACTCCAGAGCCACATTGGCTCTTTGGGCCCTCTCCTGTGGCTCCCTGTCGGATGATCCCACCATTGGCTGGCCCCGACCTTTGCCCTCCCATCCCACTCACTCCTCGCCTGAGAAGGTAAGAGCGACGGCAGCGGATGGAGACTCGCTCCATATTCCAGAGTAGGAGCCAAGCTCCCCTCTACTTGCCTCTTTTGGCCCTGGTTGGTGCTACGTGCACCTCCGTTGCTTGGGGAGATGCGCGACTTTCTGTCTGCCTCAAGACACTGGCCTGGCTGTGGCTGACACTGCTGCTCTTGGCGCTTCCATGGCCTGCTCACTGCTCTTAAATTTAGTGCGCTTCACAATGGGGGAGATGGTGTCCCCTCCTCCTCCTGGAGCCCAATATGACACGGAGCAGCAGCTGCAGCCGGGCCAGGCCAATATCTCAGGGCGGAGAGCAAGTTGCATGTCTTCCCAAGCGACTGAGGTGCGTGCAGCACCAACAATAGCTATAAGAAAAGGCAAGTAGAGGGGTGCTTAGATCCTGCCCTGGAATACGGAGTGAGCATCCACCACCGTCGCCCTTACCTTCTCAGGCCAGGCGAAGAGTGACAGGGAGGGGAGGGTGAGGGGCGGGCCAGCTAATGGTGGGTTCAGCCAACAGCGAACTACAGCAGGGGGATGACTGAGCTTCATTTATTTTGGAACCTGAAATGACTCTTAATTTAAATCATATGGTAAAAAGCACCCAAAGAAGAAGAAAGAACAACATTAGCAAAAAAAAAAAAAAAACCCACCCCAAACCCTCAACTCTTTTGGAAAATGGTTCAAGAGGGAACACACATACACATACACATGAGACAGAGATAGAGAAAGAGAGAAAGAATGAGAGAGAGAGAGAGAGAGAGAGGAAAGAGAAAGACAGGGAGAAAGAGAGATGAGAGAGAGAAAGAGAGATGAGAAGAAAAAAAAAGAGAGAGCTGTTTCCCAGGGAAAAGAAAATACCGGGAGCCACAAAATCTGGGTAGGCATGGCTGGGGAGGTCATATGACTGGGTGGGAGTGAGTGACGTCAAGTTGGCCATGCCCACCCAGGTTTTGTGGCTCCCAGTGTTTTCTGTGGGAAATGGGTCCAAATGGCTCTTTGAGTGTTTAAGGTTGCAGATCCATAATCTAAGGAAATCCAAGAATAATTAAAAGCAAACATTGTACTCCTCTCATGTGGCCTGCTATGAGTTTAGCTCTGAATCCAATGGAATTACGGTGGAAAGAGCTGAAACCATAGTTAGAATTAGAATTCTTTTATTGGCCAACAAGCAAGGAATTTGTCTTTGGTGCGGTGATCGGTTAGCAGGTTTCTCTTTCTTGGCAGAATGGATAAGCACTACGGGAGCTGTGGTTCAGCACATTGGAAACCACATCTTATTGATTTTAGGGAAAGTTGTTTTTTCTAATATTTTTAAACTACTATACTGCAGTTATTACAAAAGCTAATATGTCTTTGTTTTCTTCACAGAATGTTTGAAGCTCATATACAGAACTACAGTGGCAATGATCCACTTGATCCCTGGTACAGGTTGGTCTTTTCTTTGTCTTTACTTTTTAATATAGATCCTTAAATTACCATAAGATAGTATAATTAACTCATTCTGGTTTTAGATATTTTCAGTGGATAGAAGGAATGTCAGAAGCAGAAGGAAAGCAAACTTGCCTGTTATCTCTACTGGAGCGGCTTGTGAAAACATTTCTAAGTGATAAGAGGTATCATGACGACATGAGATTCATCAACTGCTGTGTCAAATTTGTAGGTATATAGGATGTAACCTATATTCTTAGAATTTTACCGTAGAGCGATGAATAAGTAGAGGTATTGTTGATGTTAGAAGTAAATTTTTACAATTCTGGAAATAAGCTTTCTTCACTAAAGAACATTACCCGGTTTTATTTTTGATCATGGTTGATTTTGATCTTGTGAAATGTCTTTTATATATGTTGATATGACAATATAGTTAATGCAATGTAAGTATTTTATATTTAAATCAGATCAAAATGGAATTTCATATGAAACTGTTGTTAATCTTTACAAGCTTCTATCTTAGCTTCTCAAGCTCATGCTTCCCTTTTAGATATTTATGTTGCCTTCTCTTGTGTGAACTGAGATCCAGGAGAAAATTTATTTAACCATTTATGAAGATATTTTCCAACTCTAGTCTTTTACATTGGAATTAAGTCTCATCCTATGAAAGAATGTTAGTTTATTCACCTCAGTAGGCAAGATAAACCAGATGAAGCAGTGGCATAAGAATATGTTTCTTTTTCATTAAGAAAATTTCAGGAAATTCTAACTTAGTGTGATATCTAAACATATCTAAACATAATCAACATTACTGAATTTTCAGTCTGTTCTACTCCGAGTAGATGGACTGAAATCCATAGGACTTTACTTATGACCAAGTTAAATTCTACTGAATTTGCGGAAAAACTAATTCTGGCTCCAAAGTCCAGTTTTGAAAAAATTACTTCATAACGTTTATGGAAACTGGTGACTATTTTTTCTTCTGTTTTATAATGTGAGTTCATCATAGTTGAAATAACTGTGTTAAAAAATAATATGTTAATGAGCTTATCTTGTTTTTTCGCCCTAGGCTGACTTCATTGATAATCCAAGTCATTTTTTTGATTACATGTACAACCAAGGAGTTGGTAATAAATCATCCATTCTATATATTTCTTGGGCACAACAACAAGGAAATGTGTCTCAGGCATGCACTGTTATTCAGAGAGGTATCCAAAATGAAGCTCAGCCAATTGAGAAATTACATCATCAGTACCGGTACGTTTCTGTTGTATGGCCTATGTTTGATAGCTTATGTCTATTAAGCAAGTTGAACATAATGACTTTTTTATCTACAGGATCAAAGGATATTCTGTCTTTTTTAAAAAAAATGAGTTGCCATTACTTTCTTTAATTTCCTCCTGAGCTATGGTTTCTTGCTCCATAAAATTGAAGGCAAGACTTAGGTGGTCCAATGAGGAAATAAGTGTGTTATAGCCAGCCAACAACAGTCTTCGCTAAATCTATTTAGAACATATCTTAGACATGTTAGCAAACATTACTGTCATGTAATAGCAGTTAGCTAGAGCTAGACAGAGTTCTTAGCCAATATATTTAGAGAACTCCAAATTGGATGACACTGTCTTAGATAAAATAGGAGGCAAGGGCATGTAGCAGCTTAAAGGTAAAGGGAATCCTCATTTATAAATCGTTCAGCCACCATTCAGCACGACACTGCTGAAAACAACTTTAAGGCCCGTTTACAATCTTCACGCTGTCCCTCAATTATGTGATTGCCATTAAAGTCAATACATGCACTATGCTTGACTTGTGGGTTGTTTTTTCTTTCTTCCCCTTGCAGAATAGAGAGATTAGAGAGATGTATTGCAAGAAAGTAAACTGTTTGTTCCTCTACATATCAAATGTGCTGTGGATTATGCTGCAGCCCAGGGCTGAGAGGCTCAGGTGTACTATGCAAACAGCTTACCGTACTCTCTTGAAACCTCTTTCCCTCCAATCACTCTGCTCTGAAAAAAAGCAAGCAATTTCAATAGACAATCTCTCCTTTGCCTGACACTCTCTACCCCACCCCCCATAAAGAGAATGTAGAGAAACAGATTTCAAGAGAGTACAGTAATTTTCTAGGCACAACTGCTACTTTCTTTTCGAGTAGGAGTTGCAAGTCCAGGAGTTGCGATTCCTGCTCGAAGAACAAGTGGTGGTCATAGCTAGGAAAGCCTTTGAACAGCTTTGATGTGTGTTCCCCAGGCCTGTCCCACTCTTGCCAGCAGGGGAGGTCTGCTGCAGATTCCGTTGGTAGGATCCAGGAGTTGGGAAGTTAAATATAAATTTTAAACTAGAAAGGAGAGAAGATGATTGGTTTGCTGATGCCAATATATATACAGTAAGTATCTTTGACTCAAGAAACAAAAAAATAGGTGTGTACTATGAATTCAAACCACTGTGCTTTCATATTACAAAACAAAATTACAAATAGAAGGAGCTTAGATACTGTTCTTTTACTGTTTATCTAGTGATGGGAAGGTTTAAAATAAGAATTCAGTTCAAACGTTTTCAGTGTGAGTAGCATTGGAAACTACCATGTTTTTCCAAAAATAAGACACCTCTTTTATTTTGGGGGGCTCCAAAATAAGCACTAGGATTTATTTTCAAGGAAACACAATTTCAGGATGATCAGCCTAGCTGGGTGCCCCGCATCCTGGCAAGCGCACAAAGACCGACAGTATCAGTCAGTAGCTGCAGCCCACCAGGTCCTTGGTCGACACATTCGGGCTGTGCAACCCGTGCAGCAACATAGGTGAATTGATTCCCTGTCCAAGCAACAGACAAAGGCATAGGGGCAGGGAGGAGGCAGATGATCCGGATGTGCCGTGCGGGCCACAGGAAAGCCAAGAGTCGTTGCCTGGAGTGGATGGGCAGCCATGGGAGTCTTCGCATGGTGGTACCAGCAGTAGACAAGAGACAGAGACGTGGGACAGAAGGCAGGCGATCCTGACATGCTACATGGGCCACAGGCAAGCCACCCACCTGCTCAGTCCATGGACTCTTGGCTCAGCCTGTGTGGTGCATCTGGACTGCCTGCCTTCCATCCTGTGCCTGTACCTCGGTCTGCTGCCGGTGCCACTACACTAAGACAAGCCTCCCAAAGCCGGCCACCACTCCAATCTACTGACTCAGCTTTGCCATCGGCTGAGCAGCATATCCAGATCGCATGCCTCCCACCACCTCTGCCTCTGCCTGCTGCTTGAACAGGTAATACACTGACCTATTTATATGGGCTGTGGCTGCTTGTCGGACACTGTTGGTCCACACGCTTGCCATCTCCTGTACTGGCCATGCCAAACCCTTTCACTAGGGCTTATTTTGTGGTAGGACTTATACTAGGCACACTTAAAAAATCAGGCTAGGTCTTATTTTTTGGGTAGGTCTTATTTTGGGGGAAACACGGTCTGACTGGTTGTTTAACAACTGTCCGAAGTTATGATGACTTGGAAAGCACTTCTGACCATCATAATATATTGTGCTCCCTTCTCCCCAAAGTAATATGATCGTATTTCGGCACTTGGCAACTGGTTGAATTTATGACTTGTTGCAGTGTCCCATAGACACAAAATTGCAACACGTGATATTTTTTCATAGTTTCTGAGGAAAAAAAGCCTACTTGGGGGCTTTTTAAAGGATTTACTTTTTAAGCATTTGCTTAACAGCTCTGTAATTTGCTTAATGACCATCATAAAAGTAGTAAAAAAAAAAAGTCAGATCTGGTCAATTTGATCCCTTGTCTTTTGACCACAATTACTTATAACCAAAATATGGGACCCAATTGTGGTCATAAGGCAAGTTATCTGTCCTTGTAAGCTGCCTTTTAACACTCCTAAAATAAAGTGTTTATTTCTCTTCTAGTTCTTAAATTAAATCTTGTTTAATAGAGAAAAATTGAGCTATTTCCGTTAGATTTCTAGCATTGGTTAATACAGTTTCACATTAATTTTAGGTTGTTACAGAATAGCTTGCCACAGAATGAAATTTCAACTCCAGGTGGGTCTGATTCCATAAATGTATGCCATGTAATGTAATAACTTGATTTTTTTTTTAAAAAAACACCTTGATATTTCTCAGCATTCAGGAAACCATACTACCTTCAAGAGTGGTATCAAATTGTGTTATTTTAAAAACAGGGTGGTATTCACCAGCCTTCCTCGGACTTTGAAATGTCTCAGAATGGAGTGTTGTATTTAGAGAACTTGGGTGATCTCTTGTAGGGGAAGAAAATATTTATATAATGATATAAAAAACTTGATATGTACAAATATTTCAGCAATTTAAGGCTGCTTCCTTTTCCAAAAATCCACTCTGACTGCTTTATAATAGTTCAATTCTGTTTTTGAAACTACATCTGAAAAATATTATCAAATATGCTTTCATGTGCATTTTGTGCGCGCTCAGAAACCGTAGAAGTTCATTAGCTTTTAATTGGCAAATGAACATTAGAGTTAAGCCTTATGTTAGCATTTTGATTGAATCCAATATTTGTAAGGGTAAAGTGAGACTGCTGTGTGTGAAGTAGGTAGGGCTGTGCACAGTATTGCTGATAGGCTTTGAAAGCCAGGAAGGATTATAGAAAGCAAGAGCTAAGAGAAAAGGTGGAAGGAATTTATGAGCATTAGACTGGGGATTAGCATGGTAGCGGGGCAGGTGGGGGATGCACTGGCCAGATACCTGAAGGATTGTCATAAAGAACAAAGCAAGGTTTGTTTCTGTGTCCAAGATGGCAAAACTTGATCTAATAGCATGATGTTAACAGAATAAGATATTTCAGCTCAATGTCAGGAAAAAAAAAGTCTTGGTAATTATTTATTTTGCCCTGTTGTTGAGATTTATAAACGAAGACGCCAGATAATACCTCAAGATGCTTTACAATGGATTTCAGACACTGAGCTAAGTGAGCTAAATCGCCTGCAAGGTCACCACTCTGATATTGGGGATTAAAACTACCAGTAGGTGTAAAGATAGAGGCATATGGAAAGGTGGCTGGTTTGAAAATAAATAAAGATAAGACAAAGATCTTGACAAAGAATATGCTATCAAGACAAAAGGAAGAACTGGCAGATCTATTGAAAATTCAGGTCACGAATAAGATCAAGTACTTGGGGATACATTTGACAGCAAGATGTAGTACACTAAAAGAGAATTATTATATCAAACGTAAGCAGCAGATAGCGCTAGTTTTGGCGAAATGGGAAAATTTACAACTGTCATTAATAGGGAGAATATCAACAATCAAGATGAATATATTACCCAGAATTTTATATTTGTTCCAAACAATTCCAATTAGGCTTGGAAAAGTTTACTTTGAAGATTTAAATAAAATTGTGTTGAAATATATATGGCAAGGTAAGAAAGCGAGAATAAAGTTAAAACTTTTGTAAGATGCCAGAATAAGAGGAGGATTTGGTTTGCCTAATTGGAAGTTGTATTACCAAGCTACAAAGTTGATGTGGGTTAAGGAATGGATAACATTCAGAAATACTAGATTGTTGACATTAGAAGAACATGATCTCTTGTTGGGGTGGCATGCTTTTCTATGGTATAAAGGAACTAAAACACAGGGGTATTTTAGAAGACATTATATACGGGAGTCTCTGTGGTTAAACTGGGAGAAGACTAAAAGACAATGTTATTTGAAAATTGCAATCTGGCTATCGACTATTGAAGCATTTTCTTATCCTATAATATATAAAAAGGAACAAACAGTTAGATATGGTGAAATATTGAATGAAAAGGGTGAACTTAAATCTATGCAAAAATTAGAGGAACAAGGTATAAAGATGAATTGGTTTTCATATGCGCAAATACATTCAAGGTATGATAAAGACTTTAAAACAGAAGGTTTCTATGATAAACTGACTGATTTAGATAAGATTTTGACAGGTACTGATGAAAAGGTGATTAAAAAATTGTATGGATATTTATTAGAAATTAAACTAGAAGAAGAACAAGTTAAAGAAACTATGATTGCTTGGGGGAAGAATTTTGGATACGGGATTGATCTTGAGAAATGGCAAAAATTGTGGTCTCCAAATTATAAAATGACAATGTCAACAGCATATAAAGAAAATTTGTATAAGATGTTTTACAGGTGGCATTGACCAGAATAGCAAGAACGTTCAAGAACAAATCTGAAAAATGTTGGAAATGTCATTAGATACCTGGCTCATATTACCATATGTGGTGGACTTGTGCGGATGCTAAAAAATATTGGACTAAAATCCACACGTGGTTGGAAAAAATGACAAAAAAGCATATAGATTTGAAACCAGAGATATTTTTATTGGGAATTTTACCTGAAATATATAGTAAAGAATTAAAATACCTGATCGTAAATGTATTAACAGTGGCTAGGATTTTATTTACTAAAAACTGGAAAAATGAGAAAATACCATTACAGGAGGAAATCATTAAGAAAATATTGGAATGTGCTGAAATGAGTAGATTGACATTTGAAATCAGAGAACAAGATGATAAACAATATTATAAAATTTGGGATCTATTCTATCAATGGTTAGACAATAAAACATGGTAATGAAATATGTAGATTCTTAGAAAATAATAAATATATAAAGATGTATTATTTTCTTATTATATTTACAAAATGTAGGATAGATTTGAGATGGTAATATGAATTGTCATAAAACAAATTGAGTAAAATATGGATTATTTCATAAAACATGAATGAATAAAAGTATAGCCAAATGATTAACAATGATATTAATGTATTTAATATTTGATTGAAAATATGAGAATATATACAATGTAATTGTAATTGAAGACTACGAAATGGAAGCACAAAACAATTTGTAAACCAACCAGCACACTGTATGTATATATATGGAAGATGGCTTGATGTTTTTGTTTTGTTTGTCTATGTTTGTCTTAAAAACCAATAAAATTTTTATTAAAAAAAAACCCTACCAGTAGGTGTGAGAACTGGACAGGACCAGATATATTGAGCTGATAGGAAAGCATATCTAAGTATGTCGAAAGAGGGAACAAGTGGGAGTTGGGCAGAAAGGAAAAAAATAATTTTGTGGAAGCTTAATGTATGAGAATAGAGATGATATTTAACGTATGAGATGCGTTGCATTAATAGAAAGTAACTTTTCTTCAATATTGCAGTGCAGAGCAGGCTGCCTAGGAACATGGGGGAGCGTTTAAGAAAGGCTTTTAGAGCTAGGCAGACTTTTTAGACTGGTAGACTTGCATAAGGGACAGTACCTTTCTGCTTCATTCCACTCAGCTCAGAAACACACAGATCTTCCAGAATTTGGAGAACACAGGAAGGATCAGCTTAGGGAATTATATTTGCATGAGTTTCCTTAAAGTATTTGTATAGGATATAAGGCATTGAGAATTACAATAATTCAGCTCTTACAGTGTGCTTCTCTGGTAGAGAGACAATATATTTTGCCCACTTCATTTATCTTCAGTTGTATCCAGTTCTTAGAATCTGTGCAGTTTTCTTGGCATACATTGTAATTTATTTCATACATTATACTTCCATAAAATTGATTTTTCCTTTCTGCCCAAATTCCCATTTGTTCCCCTTTCTCCTGACATATTCTTATTTGGATGTACTCTATCTGCTCAAAATATCTGTTCCTGTCCAGTTCTCACACCTAGTTTTAATCCCCCACATCAGACTGGTGACCTTGCAGGCGATTTAGCTCACTTAGCTCAGTGTCTGAAATCCATAGTAAAGCATCTTGAAGTATTATCCGGCTCCTTCATTTATAGATTTCAGCAACAGGGCAAAATAAATAATTACCAAGACTTTTTTCCTAATGTTATAGATAGATAGATAGATAGATAGATAGATAGATAGATAGATAGATAGAAAGAAAGAAAGAAAGAAAGAAAGAAAGAAAGAAAGAAAGAAAGAAAGAAAGAATTCTTTATTGGCCAAGTGTGGTTGGACACATAAGGAATTTGTCTTGGTGCAAATACTCTCAATATACATAAAAGAAGAGATACATTCGTCAAGAATCATTAGATACAACACTTAATGATAGTCATAGGGTACAATAAGCAATCAAATCATACTAGGAAACAGTCAATATAAATTGTAAGGATACAAGCGACAAAGTTACAGTCTGTGATGACCCAGGGTGGGATGCAAAACAAACACAGAAAACAGGTGAAGGCCCTTTTATTCCTTCACTTTGCTTCCAAGCTCTGAATATCTTTGACAGAAGACAAAAAAAATCCCACACAGTTACACAAAGAAGGAAAAAAGCAACACAAATCAGGCAAGATAAGGGCTGGAGGATGTCCACAGATAACATACACTGGGAAGGATGCCAAACTCGGAGAGGAACTATAAACTAGAGATATTTACATGCCTTGTTTCCAGAGTTTGCAGGTCCAAACTCTTATTTAGTTGTCACACCTGCAAGCCCATGAAGAGGGTCAGGGCCCTCTCCTCCCGAGGAGACCTTATCCTCTCCTCCCTGCGTGCCCTAGGATGGAGAAGGGATGGGCCTGGGTCCTCCTCTGACTGCTCAGCCAGCCTCTGCCCTTCCCCAGTCTCCTCCACAACCTCTGGAGCCACACTTCCTCCTCTCCCTCAGAATCAGTCTCCACCAGGGACATGACACAGTCATACAGTCACAAGTGGCAGGGGATGGGTGATAAGGAGTGGATGAGGAGATTAATAGTAATAGTAGTGCAGACTTTGTAATAGTTGAACAGTGTTGAGGGAATTATTTGTTTAGCAGGGTGATGGCATTTGGGAAAAAACTGTTCTTGTATCTAGTTGTTCTGGGGTGTAGTGCTCTATAGTGTTGTTTTGAGGGAAGGAGTTGAAACAGTTTATGTCCAGGATGTGAGGGGTCTAAATATTTTCACAGCCCTCTTTTGTACTGAAATACCGTATTTCCCCATGTATATGCCACCCCTCTACTTTTTGGGCTTGAAAATTTTGGAAAAAAGGGGTGGCTTATACAAAGCAGGTACACTTTTTATACGTGAAAAATGCATAAAATAATAAAGTAGGAATAAACTGGTTTTCCAGCAGTATGCTATACTTTTTTGTAAAAATTGTACGTGATGATACGATTACGAGTGCGAGTACGCGATAGAAATGCATACGCTAGGCATCGGCCTGAATGCTTCGTTCCTACTCTCGTTCCGATGCGTAGATTGCTAGCGTCGCCCGCACCGCTTTCGGGTCATGACCGAAGTTGTAGATCTAGACGTCGAATTTTGTTTCTTTGTAAATTTTCTTTCTTCATAACTTGTTTCTCTAATAAAATATTTTTTTCAAAACTTCACAGTCCAAAAATTGGGGGGGTGGCTTATACAAAGGGGGTGCTTATACATGGGGAAATACGGTAGTTTATTCTACTGATATTAGCATGGAGCATCGAGTTACCATAATAGCATAGAGTTATTCTATTAATTGCATGATATTAAATCCGGTTTTGTCTTCTTGGGCACAGAGTGGTTGCCATTGCCTCTTTCTAGAGAGAAAGCGACTGGACCAAGGTCATACAACTAGCTTTGTGTCTAAAGCGGGGTTAGAACTTGCAGTCTCCTGGTTTCTACTCTGATGCCTTAACCACTAGGCCACACTGATTCCCCATTGTGTCCACTAGGCAGCTGTTTTTTGTCTGCTCTTGACTGCTTCCTACTTCAGCATGTAATACCTTGACTTACAATTGTTCATTTAGTGAGTGTTCAAAGTTACAGTAGTACTGAAAAAGTGCTTATTGCCATTTTTCACACTTGCAACCTTTATAGCATCCCCATGATTATGTGATCAAAATTTAGATGTTTAGCAATTGGTTCATACTTACAACCATTGCTGCGCCCAAGGTCATTTGATCACTTTTTTCAACTTTTTGATGAGCAAAATCAATGGGGAAGCTAGATCCAGTTAACACTGTGTTACTTACTTAACAAGTGCAGTGATTCACTTAACAATTGTGGCAAGAAAAGTCATAAAATAGGGCAAAAATCACTTTAACAAATGTCTCATTTAACCACAGAAATTTTGGATTCTATTGTGGTTGTAAGTTGTGGACTACCTGTATATGGATATAATGAGATTGCAGTCTAAAACTCTCCTTGTTTAAAAATCTCTCTTTTGTGTTGCCCTAACTTGAAAATGTGAATGTAAAGAAACATAGATTCTTCTCTAAAAATCTAGTTTAGCTAGCTGTAATCTTTCTCGGAGAATAGGCCTTACCTGGCTCTATGGATGCATTGGATAAGAACTGCCAACATCCTCAGCCAAAAGAGCAAGCAGATGTGTCAAGTGTAGATGATGGAGTTGTAGTTAGAACATCTGGAAGGACTTGCATAGGGTAAAACTGGTTTTCAAATTTCCAGTGTTTTGGTACAATGTTACTTCTGATAATTGGTACCCAACTTTACACATCTAACAGTATATTTTTCTGTAGTTGGTGTTTTGCAGCAACGTAATCCTCAGCTGTCTAATCATTTGGCTTCTAAAAATGATTCGGCCTGTCCCTACCAGAGTCAGGTAACTAAAAATAGAATCTGTTATTAAATATACTATGATATTTAAAAGAATCCAATTTTTACATACATTTTTTGTTAATTGTACAGCTATAGATCAAGATCTGATAACTTTAAGTAGTTATGATTGTGATATTTTCCTTTTACATTTTAATGACATTAAAATATGCCATTATTCAAACGACTACTGTTTGGAGTTCTTAGATGCTGTTAAGACCCAGCTTGCCAAAGCATTACCAAATATAGCTTTTCTCATTTGCATGCTTAAAAATGTCCATATCAAGAAAAAAAATAATTGGTGGAAATTTATAGCTCTGCCCTTTCCAGTGTCCTCACCACATCACCAGATGGCTCTTTGAAGCCTGCAGGCAGGTTGGGATGCTATGTTTTCATCCCACCCAAGTAGCAGTTGCCTACCCTTGGCCTAAAACATCATTAACAGTGTTTTTTCTAAGTTTGAATATCCTGAAAAACTGGCTCTTAAAAAAAAAACTGTAGCCATTTAAGAGGAAGGGAAAAGAATTGCAAGTCAAAAGACTTCAGCAAGATTCCGTTAGACTTCATTTTAACATAGATAGAAACCCTTTTCTGAGCTACAATCTCATGTGCCCTGCCAGACAGTAAGACAAGGCTAAAGAATACTGGGGTTTAAAAATTCAGGAGGGCCACAGGTACTCCGACTCCTTGTGTGATGCCTGAATATGACCAATGTGGGTTTTTTGGATTAAAACCCTTGCAAATACATTGCTATTTCAACATACCGAGATCTTGACCTCGGAAATTGTGGGAGCACCATCACTTGAGACTTTCAAGAAGAGATTGGACTGCCATTTGTAGAAATGGTGTAGGGTCTCCCGCTTGGGCAGTGGGTTGGACTAGATGACCTACAAGGTCCCTTCTAACTCTGATTATCTGTTATCTTCTTTCAGTAAATTCTACTTGCCTGCCATATTTCCCTACCATATAGAGCCAACTTTTTGGCAGTATTTCCCTCCTTGATTTTTTTAGAAACTCTATACCTCCCCAACTCTTGTTTAAAAGAATACCTGTATAACAATAACAAAAATCGATATATCAGTTGTCTCTTAGAGATTATATGCAAATATAGTTTTTTGCAAGTCCACATTAGATGCTTCATTCACTTTGTTTTAGAAAACGTATCCAAACTTTGTCTTTATTGTCTCTGTCTCTAATTTAAAAAACAAAAAACAAAACTTGAAGTCTTTGCTAGACAAGTCCTCATTTTGAACTTTTATCTTATTTTTTTAGAATCCAGATAGTTCTGAATTACACCCCATCACTTGCGGGGAACAAGAGAATATGTAAGTAATCAGTGATTTAGGAACACAGTGTTTCGGAACACAGTGTTCAGTAATTATAGGTAAATTCATAATTTCATCATTTATATAATCCAGATCTGGTATGTGTGAGGGGACATTTTGCCCATATGTACTTATTTATTCTTTGAATCTGGGGGAGCAGTTCCAATGTTTTCATTGACTTTTAGCTGAGGAAAACAATAAAGGCATGCATTAGGAAGGGGTCCAAAGAAATTAAGATTCTTTTTTAACTCTAACCCCTCCTACAGACTCTTCTGAATAAGAGTTATTGTATTCATTATTGCACCCATTTTGAATTTTAGCCGCCCCGCCTCCAAATATCTCATACCTGCTCAACTTTTTAATCTTTCCTAAGAAGCATTCTAAGCATATTGCCTGTCCCGATTTTAATCATGAGAAAATTATTGGTCCAAATCAATAGGTTTAGTGTGTGAATTGGGCTTGGGGGCCTTGATTTCCCATAGCTTATGTCTTGTGATTTAGCAACTGAATCTTGTTTTAATAGCATTTCTCAAAATATTTATATGACTTTATTGATTGGATAGAACATTGCATGTGCTTCAGCATATTGCTTGATGTGTTTCTGGTTCTGATATAAAGGGCCCTAAATTCCTTTTTCTCCCTAGAGAAAAACCCAAGTACATCACCACCATTTCTAAGTCAGAAGTTGTACCAAAGCCATCAAGTCACGCTGCCCTTGAACAGCAGGCGATGTATGACAAGACACTTCTTGATTGTGAAGGTTCTGAACTGTGCTTTGAAGAAGTGAGAGCCAAAGCATATTTGAAGAAGGCAGAATGTTTGAAAAGACAAAAGGAATTGGGTAATTACTACAATTTAACTCAGTTTCTTGAGTTCAAAACATGGAACATAATACTTAATGCTTCTGCATGTGCTAAGCCAAGATGGGATTTAAATGGTTTTTTTGGAAATAAGGTTTCAGTCAGTGTTGTATAGGTAGTCCTTGATTTACAGCCATTTGTTTAGTAACCTTTCGAAGTTACAACGGCACTGTAAAAATTGACTTATAACTGGTTTTCACACTTATGATTGTTGCAGCAATCCCCATGGTCACATGATCAAAATTAGCAACTGGCATGTTTTTGTGGTAGTTGCATTGTCTTGGGGTCATGTGATTACTAATTGTAACCTTCCCAGCCAGCTTCCAAAAAGCAAAGTCAAGGAGGGGAAGCCAGATTCACTTAATGACTGCATTACTCACTTAACTGCAGTAATTCGCTTAACAAATGTGGCAAAAAGGATGTAAAATAGAGCAACCTCACCAAACAAATTTCTTGCTTAGCAACAACAATTTTAGGCTCAATTGTAGTTGTAAGTCGAGGAGTACCTGTAGATGAGCGAAGCATTTCCTGGTTTGGTTTCCTTTTTCACTGCTTTTGTTTTCTATCTCTTGATTGGTTAGTAACTAAAGGTACAACTATAAACCAGGAATAAATGAAGATGCATTGGAAAACAAGCGATGAAATTGGTAGAGTGACACATCATAGCTTTGTTCCTAAAAACAAGCCATGGAAATTTCTCGGACTGTTCATTTTTCACTTACTCAAGACACTCATAAATAACATTATAACTTAGGTTATCTGCAGTTAAGTCTTTCCAATTCTAGTGAGAATAAACTAATCAGTAATTGCCCATTGATTTCAGTAAGGTGTAAATGCAAGCTCAAATCTTATCCTACATACATTTATACTCTTTTAACAGTGATAGGCTAAGATCTCATGCCACACGCAAGGGAAATGATTTTATATATAAATGATTACTATATACAATTACTATATACAGAATGGTCTGTGAAAGGTAGCACAGTTGTAAAATCATATATACTTGTCCCCCAAATATGCCAGATATGCCAGTCTGCAACAATTACCTTATAGTCTGCTCCATTCCTGGATTTGGCACTGCCAATTATCAGTACTTGAATGTCTTATGCATTCAATTTTATTAGAATAAATGCGCATTTAAAAACTGCATCTGAATATTATGGATGGAGGCAGCTTGGTCAGCAAAATGCAATGGAGTTTTTACTGAATTCCATTGTAAAGTTAAACAATATCTTTCCCCTATTCTTGTACATAAAGTAAGTAAGGAAATAGAACTATTTCCTTTTCTAATTAAGAACAAATTTAGTTTTTAGCTAAACTATCAACTATGTTTCTCACAAAATCTGTTTCCTATATTTTTCCTTGTTGAAATATTTTCTTTATATAGGACAATCTTCTGTGCTGTCACAGTAACACAGCAATCAGGATTATTGCTCCAAATGCAGTGCCGTGTAGATTTATTCTGTTGAAGGCATTGGTCATGTATTCTGTGATTCCTGAAACCTATTTTTATTGCTTTACCCAATATGTTGCTGCAGATGGATGAATGAGTGGATGGAAAATTAATAGACTGATAGATTTCAGGGTATTGATTACAAGTGTTATTTGACACTCTGTTTTATTTTCCTGCCTTGTTAGAATAATAAAGGTCAGAGTTACTAAAAATATATCATCCTTTAATTTTAAGGGAGAGAATTATTTTAACAATATAGTTTATTGATTTATTGTAATTTGTCAAACAGAAATAATATATAAAAAAAATAATGACAGGGATGTCAAGCACATTTTCAGTGCACTTGTGCACGCTCTCTACGGACCTCTCAAATAAGAAGTGAGGTTCACAGAAGTTAATTTGTGACTAAAACTGTGGAAAATTTGTAACTGAAACAATTGAATCAGGTAGAGCATTCCAGACCTTGACAACTCTATTACAAAAGTCATATTTTTCTACAGTCAAGTTTAGAATGATTCACATTGAGTTTAAAACGATTGTTCGCACATGTATTATTGCAATTAAAACAAAAAAGGTACCTACAAGTAAAACATTACTATATACAATTTTGTATACAATACCTAAGTCTGATTGCAGGCAATGTGGTTCCAAATTATCCAAACCAAGGATTTCTAGCCTAATAGCAAAGGTGATTCTATTATGTACAGAAGAGTGCAAAACTTTTCTTGTAACGTACTTCTGAACCTGCTCGATTGTACTAATATCAGCTATATGGTAAGGATTATAAAAACAGTTGAACAGTACTCTAAAATTGATCTGACATAAGTTTTATAAGCTCTAGTTAGCAATACAATGTTTCCAGAAAAAAAAAACTTCGTTAAATTAGGTTTAGTGCTTTTATAGCAAAGCTGTTACAATGAACTTTGGAGCATAGATCGCCATAGATAAATACACCTAAGTCCTTAACAAAGTGAAGGTCGTCTGCTAGCTCAATACCACCTAACTTATACATGATATTCTGATTACCAATAAGTAAGACAAAGCATTTATTAATCAAAATTTGAAATTGCCAAGTGGATGACCATTCAGAGACATAGTCAAGATCACTTTGCAAAACAACAGAATTATCTGTAGTATTAAATAATTTTATGTCATCAGCAAAAAGGACACAATTTTGAGTTGATCACATAGATCATTAATATAGAGCAAGAATAGTGTGGGTCCTAAAATGCTGCCTTGTGGAACACCACTGTTAACTGATGCAGAAATAAACAGCGAGTTCCCTATTTTAACTTTCTGCATACTATCAGACAAGAACGCAGCAATCCACTTGTGCAAAAGTCCAGAAATGCCATAAGAATTTAATTTCAACAGCAGTTTATCATGTGCTACTGTGTCAAAAGCCTTACAGAAATCTATATAAATTGCATCTACAGCTTTACCTTGATCAAGACATGTAGTCCAAGTATTTTTATAGTGCAAAAGCTGTAAGTTACAGGATAAGTTTTTCCTAAAGCCAAACTGCTTATCAGATAAAAAGATATTTGTCTCTAAGTGATAAATGATGGATTGGTTTATGATTGATTCCATTACTTTGCATGTAACACAACATAAAGAAATTGATCTATAATTTTCAGCTGAACTAGGAACACCTTTTTAAAAAATTGGTATAACTGTAGCTTAATAGCCATAAATCAGGCAGAGAACTAGCTCTAAGCGATACTTAAAAAATTGTACACAAAGGTTCAACTAGGACAGTAGTTAATATATGGGTCTTGATACTTTCAGAGAATGAAGACAAGAAGTTAATGAAGAAGAAAGAAAGTGACCTCCTTGAGCTACAGAAACTGCAGCAGAAATTGGACCAGCTCTCCCAATCATCATCTTCATTCCAGAAAGATGTGTTACAGCCAGTTGCTCACCAGTCCTCGCTAAACTCAACAGGGGTATATTTGCAGTGTAATTTAATAGTGTGTGTGTGTGTGTGTAGTTGTTATAAATCTGTCTTTTCCAGTTGGTATTTCCCAGTTTTGAACTACAGTTCTTATCATCCATAGATAAGAACTGTGGGATAAACTGCAGTTCCCAGCATTTCTCATCATTGGCCATAGTGGCTATGACTTCTAGGAGATGCAGTCCAGCAACATCTGGACATATTGCTCCTAGAATATTTTGATTGAAAAAAGACCTTGCCCTAGTATCTACCTATATCCCTCTATGAAAGGTGATCAAGAATGTCTACTTCATAATGTTCATTCATAAGCAGAATTGTAATGGTAAGGGATTAAAAACATTTTCAGCAGCTAGAATTATCTAATTCCAAATCTAAAGTAATTTTCCTGCTATTTAGTAAACAGGCAACTACAGTAGTTTCTCTATATAAAATTCTCTTTTACTGAATAATACTAGCGTCCCAAGATATTCTTAAAAGTTTAAGTAGAAAAACTAGATTAAAATCTTGTATCTTCTTTATCAAATAGTTTTTGTATGAGTGAAATATGGCTGTTCTTTTAATCAAATAAAAATCAATAGAGATTACTCTTTGAATAGACTCCATCTTAATTATAATGTATGCCAAAAAAAAAGCTTTAAAATGTTTTTTTTTCTAATGTAACTTTATATTTATTATCTTTATACTATAATGAAACACTTTTCCAATTTATGCCTTCAATATAGGAAGGAATTCACATTTGAATTGTAAAACCTCTTTCAATCTGTTTAAATTTTAATGCAACTTTTCTTGATCTGGTAGCCTACCAGTTACAGTACAACATAGCAAGTAAGTTGTAAAATACTGATAAAGTATATTATGCTTGTAAGTATGATTAGTGTTTCTAAAAAAGTGTTGCAGATAAGTTACGAAAATTGCTCTATTAATATGCTCTAAAAGCAGAGATCCCCAACCTTTGGGCTGTGGACCACTACCGGTCCCTGGACCATTGGGAATCAGGCTGCCAAAGTGATGGGCAAGCACACGAAGCTTCGTTTGTGTATGTGAGAAATTTAGGTTGTGATTGTGAAACTATTTCCCCTCCTGCCACTGTTGCCACCATCACTGGTCCACAGAATCAAGAGTTGGGGACCCCTGCATTAGAGCATGGAAATCAGTAAACAAGTATACAAATGGCAAGAAGTCACTTAAAAATACAAATTTGTATTTTGTTCTTAATTTAATAAGGGTGATCAATGTGTACAGATGACAACACCACAATGTTGGCCAGAAAGGGTAACTTCTTCTGTAACTCAGAGTGTTCCGAACTTGAGATCAGAACATCAAAGTTTATCAGGAGATGCTTTAACTTCCCGGCCTATTGGAAATTACCCACAAAGATCTGCTTTCAAGGAGATTGGAGTGTCTTCAACTTCTTTGACAATGATGAGCAATGTAGCCAATACCGATGAAATTCTTGGGCAATCATCAGTATTTGATCCTCCGATGACAGCTGTAAGTGAGAAAGCTGCATTTGAAATTCACCCTGATTTTGAAGAATGTGCAAGTAGTCTGCATAGGCTTCAAGTCAACAGTAATGATTCTGTCCAACCACCTCAGAAGTATACTACTAACTTCCATAATTGCCATGATGGAGAGATGTAAGTAAAAGTTAGCTTTCACGGGTTCAATTGTTGTTGTTTTTTATCCAAAAATGAACACTCTGTGGATAGATGGGAATTAGAATTGTTACATCTTGTGGTTGATGTATTGGTTGGATCATAGGAACATATCATGGTTTGGTTAATTTTTATTATTTATAAATATAACTATTGGTATTAGTTTATAACCAAGGTTATTGGTGAACCAGATCACCACAACTTGTTCAACAAATGCTAATTAAACAAACCATAATTTAATATGTGCAGTGTTGTTACTGGGGTTGTTTAGATAGCTATATCTTAATGAGCTGGGATAGGAATGAACTGTTGATCTCTGACGTTTGTATTCCTAAAATTTTAATTTGTCAAAATTAGTATTCGCAACAATCAACCTGATGCATATGAACCTATTCTGCACTATATGCCACTAAATGTGCTAGGAGATGTATATGAATAAGATTTACTCCATTTGAGGATATTTGAAATCCAATATTAAGCACATTGTTAAAATATTGAAGTATTAAATTTAAGACACCTGAGCTAACCTGTAGATATTTATTTGTTTAATCTATAGGCTACCTAACTCCTAAACAATTCTGGGTAGCTTGCAACTAAAATAACTAAAAGCAAAACAGCCAACTAGAAGAGTACAATATCAAGCAAAACCTCAAAATCAATTGAGTCAAAATAAAACAAGCAAAACCAAAAGGGAGCACCACAATCACCTCATCCCCAAAGCCAAAGATTCTTTTAATGACAATAGATAATTAACATAGTCTTTTATAACTTATATCCCAAGGTGCATTCTTGATAAAAGTCAGTCTCTGTGGTGGGATTGATACTTCTACATTTTATGTAATGCAGAATAACAACCATACCCAGCACTTATAGTAAGATCTTATTTGTGGACAACCATGCCACATTTCTCACCCTCCCTCCTTCCATATGTATGTGTGTGTGTGTGATATTTCAGTAAATTTTGTTTTTGTAATAATTTGTAGCAGATTAATATGGGAATTTTTTTGTGATGATTTTTCTGGCCAGGCACATAGATCCTTCAAATCAGAAAGAGCAGCATTCCATGGAAATGAGAGGCGGTAATATATTTTCTTGCTTTCTTAATATTCTGTGTGTGCTCTAATGGGTTACTAATCCATATTTGAGGATATTGTACAAGGTATAATTGTCTCTGCATTAGTCTTTTGAAGCCTGTAGTCTGAGATGTAAACATGGTCAAGAACTTTGAAGCACAATGTCATAAGGTCAGAAGGGATCTCACAGAATTTACAGTCCAAATCTCTGCCCAAAGCAGAAATCTTCATAACATCCCAAGCAAAAAAACTTGCCAACCTTTGTCTGAGGCAGAGGCTGCACATCAAGGATGAAACCTTGATTTCAGGAGGCAGGGTGTTTCACTGTTTGTTTATTTAAAAACATATAACATAACACATATTTTAAAGAAATCAATGAAAACAAGGCCCTGGACCAGTAATTCTATTAGTTTCCTGACTCAGTCCCCATTCTAATCCAACATGAGAAGGAGAATAGCCAGGTCTGGAAAGCTAAAAGGGTAGGGACCCCATGAATCTCCAGTGAGAACCTATTCTAAAGTGCTGAGGCAATTACAGAAAAGGCTTATCTTCAAGGTCATAGCATTTAAGGGAAGGAAGCCTAGACCCCACCTCTCCTATCTGACCTAGTTGGATGAGAAGATTAAAAACAGATATATGGCATGTAGGGCTTTAAAGATGATAACCAGCATGTTGAATTATAATGGAAATTCTGGTCACCATTATGGTTTGTAAGTTGAGGATTATCTTAAAACTTAAATACTTCATCAATTTTGTTTTTTTAAAGTGGCATATTAATCTAAAATCCAAAGAAACTTCTTTTTTTATGCTCCTTCTTACATTGTTACTGTTGTATCAAATACGCATTAGGAATAATAATCTGTAGAAGTTTCTATAAATTTAAACCTCTGTTTCTGTCAAATTTTCATATTGCATTTTTGGTACCAGGTAACAGAAATACGTCAGGAGTTTTTGATCAACGTCATATAACTCCAAATGCATCAAGCATAATACAAGCAACCCCATCTAAAGTGCAGCCTTCTCCTACTGTTCACACAAAAGAAGCCTTGGGTAAGTATAAAGCCTGTTTTTTTAAAAAAAAAATCTGGGGACATTTATTTTTATAGACTTTTATATTTAGTTTTATAGACACTTAACATTGCTAAGTATACTTGAAGAAACCCTTTCAGTAAAATAAGTAGTTGCCTTACATTGCACACAATGGGATATTCAGGGAAAGAATTCTGGAAATGGTGACTAGGTAAATTAGAAAGGACACATATGTTTATAGAGTTTTATGCAATGGTTTCAATAAAAGATAGCCATACTTCATTGCAATATTCATAAATGCAATTTGTGCCAGTAAGCAACTCATTTATAATTCACAAGTAACATTAAGTTTCTTTGTTATATAAAATTACTTATTTAGGATATGAATACAGAAATACAGTTTGAACAAATGTGACTGGGTGACATAAAATCAACAAATCAACAATAATAAACCTGTACAGCTAAAAGCAGCATACGAAACCAGCAAACTATCAGGCATGCAAATTTGCCTTAAAACACTCCAGGTGAAATTCCAATTTCTTGACCCTAATGACTGAAAAAGGAACCAGACTTTTAGTGCCTTTTTGAAGGCCAGCTTGATAGAGCCAACCATATATTTGGGGGGCCCACCAGCTTGTGGAGGAGCAGGCACTACATGGTTTGGTTATTTCTGGACTTCTAGATAGTCTTTGAGGGATTTGATTATAATAATACATTTAGATTTGGTTATAATAATACATCTGGAATATGAATAAAATATGAGCCTCCCAAGGAATTGGCACGATCCGTACACAAGACAAAATTGTTTGAAGGTTAACCTACATATAGATGTTAGCTGCTCTTCAGGCAGGAGTTAGGATAAGCTGTTAATTGTATACTGGATACTCCCAAGAGCCAAAGATGAAAACTCTTCAGTCCTGGGATCAGATATGCCAAATTCATATATGCTCAGTCTTGGTTGAATTCAGTCAAAGCTCTTTGTTTTCCCATCCAGAAACTAATATTTTTCATATACCAGAACAGAACTCAAAAGAATTATGTGGGCAGAGAGATGACCCAGAGTATATCAGAAATATAACAAAAAACAAAATGTAAATAAAAGTCCTTTAATGCCTTCAACTTGGCGTCACTGTTTAATTGTTCATAGTGGAGCAGTAAACTATTTTCAAAGTAACATTTCAAAGGAAAGAAACACAGTTCAAATTCAAGAGCCGATAACGAAGCAAAAACTAAAAACAAACTGCACTGAATAAAGTTCCATGACAGACCAGGATAGATAATTGTCAACTTCAGGAAGATAACCAGGTACAGTCCATTGGAAGAATGCCAACCAAGATAAACCTTCTTTAGGAATAAAACACTAATTTGTCTCCAGCGTCTGTTAGCACACAGGTCCAAACTCTTAAGCAAATCTCACACCTGCAACCCATGAAGAGGATCATGGCCCTCTCCACCCAAGTAGACCACATTTTACCCTGATCCTCTCCTCCCTGCGTGCCCTAGGATGGTTAGGGGATGGGCCTGGGTCCTCCTCTGACTGCTCAGCTGGCCTCTGCCCTTCCCCAGCCTCCTCCACCACCTCTGTAGCCACACTTTCACTCCCTGTTGGCTGTTCCTCCTCTTCCTCAGAGTCAGTCTCCACCAGGGGCATGACAGTATCAATAGCAGTATTGATACTGACAGTATCAATAACTGATATTACACTTTTTTTTTGAACTATTACCATCTGGCAGAAGGTACAGGATAATAGAAACAAGGACAAATAGGCTGAAAAACAGCTTCTATCCCAGTGGAGTAACTGTTGAATTCCCCTGTACAGGTGAAACTTGAAAAATTAGCATATCGTGCAAAAGTTCATTTATTTCAGCAATGCAACTTAAAAGGTAAAACTAATATATGAGATAGACTCATTACATGCAAAGCAAGATAGTTCAAGCCGTGATTTGTCATAATTGTGATGATTACGGCTTACAGCTCATGAAAACCCCAAATCTACAATCTCAGAAAATTAGAATATTACATGCAATCAATAAAACAAGGATTGTACATAGAACAATATCGGACCTCTGAAAAGTATAAGCATGCATATGTACTCAGTACTTGGTTTGGGCCCCTTTTGCAGCAATTACTGCCTCAATGCGGTGTGGCATGGAAGCTATCAGCCTGTGGCACTGCTGAGGTGTTATAGAAGACCAGGATGCTTCAGTAGTGGCCTTCATCTCTTCTGCATTGTTCGGTCCTATGTCTCTCATCTTTCTCTTGGCAATGCCCTATAGATTCTCTATGGGGTTCAGGTCAGGCGAGTTTGCTGGCCAATCAAGCACAGTAATCCCACGGTCATTGAACCAGGTTTTGGTGCTTTTGGCAGTGTGGGCAGGTGCCAAGTCCTGGTGGAAAATGAACTCAGCATCCCCATAAAGCTTGTTTATGGAAGGAAGCATGAAGTGCTCCAAAATCTCCTGGTAGACGGCTGCGTTGACCCTGGACTTAATTTAAAGGCATTTAAAGGCTCAGGAACCCTTTGCAGGTGTTATGGCTTAATTAGCTGATTAGAGTGGGACACTTTGAGCCTAGAACCTTTTCACAATATTCTAATTTTCTGAGATTGTGGATTTGGGGTTTTCATGAGCTATAAGCCATAATCATCTCAATTATGACACATCACAGCTTGAACTATCTTGCTTTGAATGTAATGAGTCTATCTCATATATTAGGTTCACCTTTTAAGGTGCATTACTGAAATAAATGAACTTTTGCACGTTATTCTAATTTTTCAAGTTTCACCTGTATAGTGCAATATTAATGCACTATCAAGGGTTTTCAAGGGGTTCATAGAATGTGAAGGATGTGTGTTTGTGTTTATTTTCATAGTCATAATGTACACTGAAGATGGTATTTAATTTTGTTGTATGAGGTGCAATGAAAATAAAGTAAATTAAATTAAACTAAACTAAACTAAGTCTTCAGTTTATGGAATAATTGGACAATAAATTTATTTTTTCAATGTTGAAGGACTAGTCTCACTAGACTCATAGCAATATGAAGAATCCACTTCTGCTGTCTAGCAGACTCCTAATATCACTAGTATGTCCATCTAATGTATATATTTCAAAAGAAAATAAATGTTCAAAAGCATTAAATCCTGTCTCACAGAATATAACGATGTTAGAATATACATGTTTGTTTTACTTTTTCTTTTAATTAAAAGCAAAATATTAAAAATAATTAGAACATGAAACTTCTTTGCCCCCCAAAGCTATAAAGTTCTTCTCATTCTTTCTTTCTTAGTAGATCTTATCAGAAAATGTAGCTAAACATTTTGTTCTCCTACTCCATATTTGCTAACATCTGTTAGCCAGTACTGAGTTGCAAATGAAAGGGTAGATTGGAAACGATAATTTTGTGTGCACTTCGTTAGTGTTCCACAAACACTAAATTTGTGTTTACTAACAAAAGTAAATAAATTTACTAAAGATGCTAATATTTAGATAGATAGATAGATAGATAGATAGATAGATAGATAGAGTTTCAAAATATATCTCAACCGAACTAATAAGGAAACTGATTATCCAACTAATAAAAAGCACACTTACATTTATATAACTATGACAAAACTTGATAAAAATGTGGGTTAATTAACCAGTTTTTATAAAATAAAAAGTCATGTATTTACCACATGAAAAATATGATCTATATTTTTCAGCTGGAAAAATAGGTTTAGTTGGTAACCTATTTTTACCTTGTACATTACTTCTATGTAGATTGCAATTAAGACAATTAAAATATCCTAAAATAGCAAATGCCACTATAAAGTAACTTCAGGCTGAAACGGTCTAACATTAAAGAAGAAGACCTTATTTCCTGAAAGTGAAAAGCGAGGCTGACAAGAATACATTCCATCTAGTACACGGGTGTCAAAGTCACTGCGTCATGTTGCCATTGTGACATAATGTTTTTTCCCTTCATGGAGCTGGGGTGATGGCCTGCATGTGATGCATCTGGCCTGCAGGATGCCAGTTTGACACCCCTGATCTGGTAGAAGCAATTAATTACAATTTTATGTTAACTTCTTGGATTACAATAATAACCTATATTATGCTGGAAAACCTGGAGTTAATATGTTTATATGTAGCTATTTGTCTCTTCATTTCTCCTATCTCTGACTGCACTTTATTTTAGTGCTGGCAACCCTTAACTTACAACTATTTCTTTAACAATTGTGCAGAACTAAAAATGGCCTCGGACTTTCACAAAACATTGCACTAACACCCCAGCATGATTGCAATCCAGGTGTTTGGCAACCTGTTCACACAACATGTTGCCAAGTACCCCATAATCATGTGATCACAATCACATTAGGGTTTAGGGAAGCCTGCATATAAACCTGCTGAGAATGCCTATTAGGATTAAAACACAACCTTGGACTTGGGTCTTCATGAATTGAAATCAAAAGGTTTATATATTATTAATACAGTTATTCTACAAGGGATAGGAAGTAACTGCCATTTAATATTTTCTATGAGATATTTAAATCACTATCATAATGTATTAGAGGAAAATATGATTAGCCTTAATATAGAATGTGTTGTGATGTTTATTGTATGACTTTTTATTTTTTACTTTTGTATATTTGTATATTTTAATCTTTTGTATTCAATAAAGTATGTTTTAAAATTTAAAAAAAATGAAACCAAAAGGTTTAAATACCTCCAATGGTTTTGCCTTCATAAACATTCTTGGATTTTTTAAAACTTTACCTGTCCTTTATTTTGAATTTTTCTTTGACTTACCAAGGTTTAATCATGGACATGTTTCAAGTGGCTTCTCTAAAAGATGCCACTATACTTTCAGAAGATGAGGAAGAAGATGTTGATTCTTTCTTCAGAAACAAAGGTAAATGTCATTACCTACAAATGATAAATTATCTTCGCATTGGTCTTCCTTAGTTTGGGAATCTCCAGATGGGTTGGAACCATAGCTTCCATTATGCTGGCAGCATAGCTGCTAAGTGAAACTGGAGAGACCTCATCATAAATTTGGAGCCCCAAGTTCTGCAAATGCTCAAGAATTTGTCTTGGATTATAAGATTCGTTAGGCAGACATAATTGGACTAATCTCTGCCAAAGTGATTTCAAGATGCTAAAGCTAAAGGACCTAAAACAATAGATGGGAGTTCTTTTCTTCCTTGCCTCATTATTGTTAAAATATAAATTTATTCTGAGAAGTGTGAGGAGCTCCCTTGTGAGCTACAGAACAGATCCAATAAAGATACATCTCATATTCTTTATATTAACAAAAATGAGGTTTAATTTTAGATATAGCTGAGGATTTTCAATAAGTAGCAGTCAGATACCATAATATTAGCAAGGGTATGTTTTTGTCTGTTTAGTTTCGTGTAGTGACAAACCTTTAGGATATATACACGACTAATGCTGGCTTTCTAGAGAGGATTAAAAATAAATGCCCATGATGAGAAAATTATACATCTAACAATCAGAATATCTGTTTAGGTTTATATTTTGAAGTGAAAGATACTTACTTAGTTGCTGACTTGTGCTTATATGCCATTCCAATCATATGCAATGGATTAGCTAACATTCCTTCATGCTCTACCAAAATTAAAAGCAATGAAAAATGAAACAAGAATTGGACGAAAGGATGAAGGACAACAATCACCAAACAATGAAATATTTCCACTGAAGGAAAAATAAATTCTAATCAGACTCTAAAGACCTAATCTTAATGACTTTTTAGAATTTTAATTGGATGAGAGGGACAAACTGAACACTGGGAGATGCTATTGTAGAGAAGGAGATCATCCTTCATGGTATCTGATAGAAGCATTTCTTAGAAGTAGAGTTCTCATGGACGTCCTCCATTCCAGATCTTAGGAAGCATGCAAGTACTAATGGGAGAAAGTGGTCTTGAATATACCAAGCCCTGAATCATGTGGGGCATGGATATCCAACCTTTGCACTGAGTGAAGAGGAATCATTTTGGACTGTGTATAAAATATATAAGTTAATGTATATGAATAATAAACTTCCTTTATTTTTTAATTTTGTGGAGTCATATTACTAACTGTCTAGGACTCATGCAACCCTTGGGCTGAAGGTTGGACACGCTTGATGTAGGGTTTTAAAGATCATAACAAGCATTTTCCATTGCCCACAAAAGCCAACTGTCCTATTTTAGTTATAGATAGGTCATGCCCCTGCATGCTGAACTGGTTTGCAGTTTCAGCATCCTCTTGGATCCACCGCTATTGTTTGACTATCTGGGAGGTGCTGAGATCATGGAAAGTTTTACACAATAAGTCTGTATACCAGTTCGGATAATTCTTGTATCAGGAGATTCTCACAATTACCTATGTGACTTCAACTGCAGCTTGGTTTACAGCTGGTAGACCACTTGGAAGCTTCATTGGGTTCAGAAGGCAATAGCTCAAGCAGTTACAAGATTTATACATGTTGCCTGTGTGAGACGTCAGCCAGAGGCGGGGAAAATATAAGCCTATCACATCTTTCCTTTTCCTTTTAGATCCAGGTGAGGTTGTCAGCATTAAGCCTAGTGTTCCTGCTGCGTTACCTGCTTTTACAATTTTTGAAGATGAGAATATGGAGTAAGTTGAAAATCATCAGATAGCCTTGTAAAGAAGTCAGTATGCAATTACCACTAAGAATGCTCTTTATAATTGAGATTAGTTTGTATTAGAGTGCACTGTAAGCTTACCTGTACATTCTGCAATGAAAATTGTTTGAAAATTGCACACCTAGTATCCATGTTGTTGAATGAAGATTTCAGTTTCTCATTAATCATTTTTATCAGTCCCCCTTTTCTTCACTTTCTTGCATCACAAACTATGGGGGGGAAAAATCACCCTTTGATTCTTGAAAAAGCTAATGTGTACTGTACTTGTCATATACTATGTATTGTTACAGCTAGCTTATTTTGGCTCATATTGAAACAACTGAAAGGACAAAAAGTGATTGGATGGGAAATGTAGACTAGATTGAGAAGCTAAAAAAGAGAATCTTGAAAGAAGGCAATGGTGACTCACTATGCTATTGTGAAGAAAACAATATTCTTGTAATCAAGAATGTTGGTTACAATTTCCCTGTAATCCCCAGTTATTTGCACAGGAATGTTAGGCAACGTGGGATCCCTTCAGATGGGCAGCTCTTGTAATCTGTTATCATTGGCTTGTGTTGGGTACATGAGAATCCAAAACATTTTGAGGGGGAGGTCAAAAACTGGATGTGTGGAAGTAAAAAACTATTTTTTTCTTGTTTTCCTTCTCTAAAGCTAGGTGCATCTTATGGTCCAGTGCGTCTTATAGTCTGAAAAATACAGTAAATCTACTGTATGTAAAATGTTTCATTTGAAGAATGACTCTGAATGTTCTTCCTTTGATTTTTAGGGTCCTGCAGTCAGTCCCAAAGTCGACATCTATCAAAGTATTTGGTGAACGTCCCAGAGACACTTTGACTGTTTTTAATCCAAGAGTAAGCAAATTGCCTTTAATTTTTTTGTTTATATATATTTAATCAAATAAATCAGAATTAGAAAAATAAAATATTGAAAAGAATAACAAAAAAGAAAAAAAAATGCAAAACACAAATTTGTGTGTATATGTGTGTATGTGTATGTACATATACACATATAATCACACAAACACATATCCTGGTAGTCTTCAATTTACAACCGTAATTGGGATTGATATATTGGCCATGATAGTTACAAGTTGAGGTACCCACATGACTGGGCCCGATTTATTACTGTTTTTACAGTGGTTGTTAAGCAAATCACAGGCTAAGTATTTGAGAAATACTGCTTGGTATAAGAATACCTGTGTAATTGATCAATTTGCTACATATATACTGCATAGATGAGGGCATACTATAGAGACAAAATTGGTTGTCCTTGTAGCTCATTGGGACCTTTTTAGATCTCTTTTGAATGGAACTTGAAAAAGCACACATTTCCCCTTCCATGTAGGAAAAAGGATGCCCCTTATGGAATAATTAAGATTATCCGAGTGTTGAATTTGATCAGGGAGACATTCACACCTTCACTTCCCTGGTGCTCATCGAAGTGGTTGCAAGCCAAATGCCCTTTTTCAGCACAATCCACTTCTTGGAGTCATTGTGGGGATAAAATTAGAGGGGACTCCAATAATAGCCATCTTTTAAAGTATTTTTTTATTAAACGATTTACAAAGAACATAGAAACTAACATGTGAGAAAAGTACAAGACAGAAGAACGACAAAAAATCAAGAAGAAATAGATGCTTGTGATTTCTTTTGAAGCAAATATAAATTACACTTACAAAATTATCTTTTACTCTCTGATTACAAAAGAAATCTCATTCTTTTACATTATCCAGCTTTTTACTAATCATCAAAACCGCAAATCATAAATCATATTTTCTAGTTAATGCAAAAAGTCTACGAGATCATCCATAAATGGAGACATACTTTGTTCTCTAAGCAAATAAATTAATCTAGCCATTTCTGTGAGTTCCATCTTCTTATTCACCAACCATTTCTCTCTTGTATCAAAGTTTTCCACTTCTGACCGTATATATACTGTGTGTGTGTATATATATATATATATATATATATATAGAGAGAGAGAGAGAGAGAGAGAGAGAGAGAGAAAGAGAGACAGAGAGACAGAGTGTCTTGCTGCAGTTATCACACACACACACACACACACACACACTTCAGCCATGTTGATTGTTTAGAGAAGAAAAAAATTGATGATGATTTTGGTTTTCCTCTTTAGGATGAAAGCCAGACAGTAGAGGGTCTGACAAGTGACTATACTGTATGGGCTAACCCATGTAACCAAACTTTTGCTCCGTGTCTGAAAAGCCCAGAAGATTTCATTCAAGCTGCTCACCTTGCCTCCTCTACACCGTTCAATACCATTTCAGTGCCTTTAGCCCAAGAGATGCAACCTAAAGGTAAAATGTTGCATCAGGAAGAACATTTACTGTGATGTGGGACAATACATAATTGTGATGCTTTTCTTAGTCTAAAATGGATGAAGAGATAATCCCCATAGCATCTGAGAATAGGTTGCGGTTAGTCCTTGATTTACAACGATTCATTGAGCAAGATAAATACAATGATGCTGAAAACAGTGATGCTACCAGTCTTTGCACTTACGAGTGTCATGGCATCCTTGTAGTCATGTGATCAGAATTGGGGCACTTAGCAATTGGCGTGTATTTATAATAGTTGTGCATCCCAGCATCACACAATGGTGACTTGCTACCTTTCCAGCTGGCTTCTGACAAGCACAGTCAACGAGGGGAACTGGATTCACTTTATGGCCACAGAACTTGCTTAATGACCAAAACAGGCGAATGATGGAAGGTCTCCATCTCTACTACCACAGTAATTATAGCACTGTTTGACTTGTTTTTAAATTTGTCAATAGCCAGGTTTTGTTTTTTTATTGTTATTGTTTCGTACAAGTAATCCTCAGTTAAGAACAGTAAGTGGGACTGGATTTTTCATCACTAAACAATGTGGTTATAAAGCACAACGTCTAGGTGCAGGAAGACCTGCAAGTGGTTGTTGCTAATGGTGGGAGGGTACGCAGATGGCTATTGTGGCACTGCATGAATGCAACCAGGCAGGCACATGCTACGAAGTATGAGATTCTCGGGCTCCCGTAGTCCATAACTAAGCTCCTAAGGAGGAAAAGTGGCAGGAGTGGGAGGGATTTGCAAGAACGATTTGCAACCTTCCCTGCTGGCTTCCCCATTGCCTTGGCTTCTGGGAGGCCTGTAGGGAAGCTTGCAAATGGTGATCATGTAACTGTGGCACACTGACCATTCTAAGTGCAGGCCAGTTGACAAGTGCCTGGATCATGATCATATGACTAATGGAGTGCTGGGATAGCCAGAACTCTGAAGTCTGGTTAAGAACCACTTGCTCAATGCATTGTAACTTAGAATAGTTTCTGAATGTGGTTGTTAACCGAGGACTTTTTGTATTGTTTTTGCAAGCCATCTCAAATATTTTAGAGAGGAAAGATCGAGGTAAAAAATACTTAAATAAATCATTATTTCTTAACAGGGAGCGGGACTTCTTGCATCCTAGTGCCTAGGAATATATATATATGGAACTTTATGTTGGTTGTCTCCAGTCTGGTTCTGCTGAATTTTGGGGGGAATTGAAACCCAGACATCTGCAGGGTGGTACTCTTCTCTGTTTAGCTCTCCAGATTTTCATAATCCTATCATTAAGGGCTTCTTGTACTTTCCTGATTAATGTCAGTAACGTGACTATTTTTATTCTCTTACAAAGTCATTGAGAATCCTTGGGATGAGAATTTAAACTTCCAGCTTCTGTCCAGACTGCCAAAACCAATAAGTGCTTATCCCAATACTTTCCAGTGGGCATCGAAACTTCCAGTTGTCAGACCAAAAATTGTTGTCACATTAGGTAAGTCTATGGTACATGTTTAATGTTATTCTTTTCAGAGCTATGAACAATTAAAAATGTTGTACTTATAGTTTTATTGGGCATATTTTGATATAAAAGGGAAATTGGGACTCTGCATTGCATTTGTAAAGCCATATCGTTTTATGGAAGAATTTATTGCCATGAAACCAACATGCCAACTGTTTTGGTTGTGTTCATCCATAATTCTAAGACAAGATTTGTTTAAATAATGGTGAAAATTCTTGCCAAAGCAAAAGAATTAAAATGGTTAAATATAGGAAGGAAATTATGTTATTGAAGATGATACTTTTTCTTTTTTAATGGAGCAAGACTACATTGGCTGTAGTGGCTTGAAATTATAGAAGGCAAAAGACAGCAGGTTACTCTAGTGAACTGATAAAACTACAAAAGTAATCCAGAGTTTCAGCTGACTCTTAAAATTTTACTGGAAATTACTTAAACTATCACTCCAAGGAAAGAATCTGCTAAAATAGAAATACATTCCAATTCATTTTTCCACTTGAGGGAGGAAAAGTGAGACAAGAAAGGGACTAACCTTATTACACTATCCTTATATGATTTCATATTACATGCAACTTCAGTACATACAGTTGTTAGTAGGGCAAGTGAAGCACTTAAAGAAATAATAGGAATTAAATTATGTTTTTCTGCTTTGGTGGGAAGGATAACTATTGAACCCACTCATTCTGTTCTCATAGTATAAGCTCTATGTGTATTTGGCTGCATTTCCAGAATTAGAAGCAACCTATTGGTCAACATTGGTAGTGATCTTAAAAAAGAAGGGACCATCCTTCCCCAGTGCATGGATCCTGCTTCTGCACTTCCAGCACTTCTGTCTGGTGTGGTTTGGCATTTGTTTTTCACTGAAATTTTAGAGAGGCGATTGCAGATGGATTTGAGACAAACCCTGTTTAGCCAGAAATGGGTAATTTGGACTACATACAAGAACTGTTCTGCATGCTTATCTCTTCCTTGTTCTCATTCAGCATCCACATCCTTCCACGTTGATTGCTTACTTGGAGAAGGAGCTTTTGCACATGTGTATCAAGCTTCTGCCCTTGATATGGATAACTCTAAGAATAATCAGAGAGTAATACTGAAGGTATTATATTTGACTCTAACTTCCAGAATCTTGTTTAAAATTAATTAATCCATCTGCTTTACCCCTAAAAACAATGTTTTCCCCCCCAATGTCTGATCCCCATAATCTCTCCTGTCCATTACTGAGTTGATGTCAGATTAGAATTTAGCAGTGGAGAGAAATGGGTCCCTGGACAAAATGGATATGTAAGACCCTGCAGACTGTATCTAATCTGTAGAGCCAGGGATGTTCTATATATTCAATTCTACAGAGGAATTATTGAGTCTCATCTGCACCTCTATAACGGCCTGGTTTGGCTCTGCAACCAAGCAAGACAGACACAGACTTCAACAGTTAATTAGAACTGCAGAAAAAGCAATTGCTACCAACTTGCCTTCCATTGAGGACTTGCATACTGCACTAGTCAAAAAGAGGGCTGTGAAAATATCTACAGATCCCTCACATCCTGGACATAAATTGTTTCAACTTCCACCCTCAAAATGATGCTAACGGGAGTGCACACCAGAACAACTAGACACAAGGATAGTTTTTCCCCGAATGCCATCACCCTGCTAAACAACTAATTCCCACAGCACTCAATGTATTTACTAAGACTGTATTACTATTATTCCTCTACTACTAGAATATAATAACACTTCCTAGTACCTATCTCTTCCCCCTTATAAGTGATTGTATCTTTACAATTTATACTGTTTTGTTTCCTAGTATGATTTGATTGCGTACTAGTAACCTATGACAATCACTAAGTGTTGTATCTTAGGATTCTTGATGAATGTATTTTTTTTCCTTTATGTACATTGAGAGCATACGCACCAAAGACAAGTACCTCTCCTGCATTTAAGCAAAGCAGAAGTGTTTATTGTCTTTATAGGTACAGAAATCTGCAAGCCCCTGGGAATTCTATATAGCAGCTCAGCTGGCTGAAAGACTGAAGCCCAGCATGCATCACCTTTGCATCCAATTCTATGGTGCTCACTTCTTTCAAAATGGAAGTGTTCTAATAGGGCAGCTTTACAGTTACGGAACTTTGCTGGTAAATATGGCTTTGACCTGTGTGTATATTCTTGTACAAATGTCATCACCATCTGAAACAGAGGTGGTATTCAGCAGGTTCTGACCAGTTCTGGAGAACCGGTAG